TGTGTGCTCGCTTGTAACCTTTAATCTATAAAAAATATAGACATTTCTTATTTCTTCCATCTCAATATTGACTCCTGATCGAGGAAAGGTGTCTATGAGCCATCATATAGACTGTATGCTTGTGACTGTATGCGTCCTATGAAATCTTGTATATAATTTGGATTGACTATAATATTACGTAACCATTTATTTTAATTTGATATTACTTGGCCTTGACACATGTAAATTATACGTTCTTTAAGTGCACAGTATGGCGCCAACTTTATAGCTAATAAGGGGTTACAAGTGTATCAGGTTGATTAATGCCCTCTTTAGCTATACTGCCTCGCCTCTGAGAATAAAGCTGTTCTAACAACCTTTAACTGTATGTACGACTTTAACTATGTCGAATATTGTGTAATATTTTAAACGTGTTTTTTTAGTTATGTCTGTATATGATATATTATGCTGTTGGAACTAATCTTCGGCATGCTGAACCAATTGTGATGAAACTTTACGAACGGACGGAGGGCGATGCCAGGCGGGAATTTGGCTATATTTTATCTAAAAATTGAAATAAAGAATCCACACCCAGGCGAAGCCGAGACGAATTGCACATAAAGGAATATTTTACTAACATCTATCTATTAATCGGATTACAATGTAGTGTCTTCAAGGCAAGAGTAAATTAGATAATAATTTGTTAAGATAAGTCAGTGCGTAATGATTTCTTAAATTTACGCGAACACTACACATTGAATAAAACTAGATTTTATTCAATAAGTCAGTGCGCTTTACCGTACTCGGCTACATCACCACTTGCCATCAGGAGCAACAGTAGTCAAGCACTGGCTTATAAAATAGTTTGAAACAGAAACAGACATTTTCAATTCCACAAATTCAATATAGATAATAAACAATACTTGAAAGTCACTTTTTTATTTACCACTGGTTAGGAAGGAAAAACCTCTGTCCTGGAAAGAACCAGCAAGAAACTCAGCTGGACAATTTTTTTAAATAACAGCTTATAATCGTGTATGTTACAATTAAAAACACAAAACAAATTAGAAATAGCTTGGTAGCGATCACCCTTGCCAATAGTTAGTATCATCCATAAATATTAAGTATATAAATAGTAAGTATCATCCATAAATTCCTTAATATTATAACAACCCTCCTTAAACAAACTCAGTTTAATAAATTTTTTGAACTTTGTGTAGGTCAAATTTTGTAATTTTTTTTAGAAAATATGTTGTAAAAGCGCATACATTGCCCCAAGTAAGAATTACAATTTCGATGGAGTCAAGTAACTGGTACAACATAGTCATTAATTACAGCCAATTGGGGTCTACAGCTAAACATAGACCTCCCCCACAGATTGCCTCATAGGAAGGATCACCACAGCTGCCTCGCTTGATAGGCGAGTTGGTATTTGCATTTTCTTTTTTTTTAAAGTGACAATCGAGCACAAAGGCAAGTGTGTGCTGTAGCTCATAGATATCTACATTTATCCTCCATTGAGAATAAAAATGTCGTTGCGTTGTCGTCCCTGATTCCTAAGATAGAATGTTTCATTTCCAGTAAAACGGGTTTCCAGTTCTCTACATTTACCGTACAAAACACATCCTTAGTCCACTTAAGAGTTTAAAAAATAACTTTTAGTAAAAAGTTAAAGCGGAGAGTTATGCATTTAGTTGGCAATATATTGTATCTGTTCACTAAGCATCAACCATGTTAACCAACAAATTCAACTGTGCAACTTTGCAGCAGTAATATAATATATTTATTTTATTTTCATTTATTTTTTATAGAATAAGGATGACAAATTAGTATACGAGTACAGTCCACCAGTGGTAAGTGGATGCTGTGGCCCATAAACACCTACGTTTATCCTCGATTAAGAATCAAAACGCAGATGCGTTGTCTCCCCTGAGGACTAAGATTGAATGACTCGTTTCCAGTAAAAAAGTGTCTCCGGATCTCTACATTCACCATACAAAACATGGCAGTATTAAGCTGCTATTTCACGCTGATATTCTGTGAGAACGTAGTCCTTCCCCGGTCGAGCTGACTCATTCGTATTGCAACCATAACATAGCTGCAGCGTGGCTCCACCACGTATAAAAACAATATTATTTGTTCGTATTTTATGTGCTGCAACTTATTGCTTGCACTTGCACGAAGGTTATAGACATAGTGAAATTAACTTGCATTACGTGGCACGCGTATTGTACCGAGATTCAGAAATCACCTGTGCAAAGCCGGGGCGGATAGATTGTAGACAATAAAAGCTTGACACAAGTAATGCTTCCGTAAATTGTATTTCATTTCCTAAACAACAGTATTCTCCTTTCAGTGTAGCGGCATATTGCTGCGGCAAGTGGCACTTATATATTTTATAACTTACATAACACCATTTGGCGTAGCAGTTAATGGATATTGAGAACTCGTATCACCGTTGTAGAAATATATTAATAAAACAGCCAAATTTTTTTTATTTTTATTTTTCATTTGTTCAGATTATTTGTGTTAGTTTGAAATTTAATTTACCTTATTGTAATGAGCGTTCATTAAAAGATAAGGCCGTAGATTTTGCAACTTTTTGAAGAAAAAATATTTTCATATTTTGATTGCTTATAAAAAACAACATAGTGGGTAAATTGTAATGAATATATTTTAATTAAGTTTTATAACTCTTAAACTCTTATAATATATTCTTAAAATTATGTAAGTTGTACATAAATAATACAACGAGTTAAATTCGTCCAAACCCCCAAATTTAACGAAATACATGATGTCTTTTTGGTACTTATACTATAAAACTTGTATTTTTATAATGAATATTTAATTAATTTGTGACTCCCTGAAATGTCTCAATGTTAAGCTACTACATCGTGTTTTTCATGTCTTTAAACCCGTATTTTTTTGTAAATTTATTACTATTTAAATTTATGTTCTATGTTTTGCTTCTATGTTTGAAAGTTTTGTAATTGCATAGGCAATACCAAGTATTCAGGCAGCACAATAAAAATTAAAAGACGCCATCTTGTCGTCTCTGGAGTCTGTCAAAGGTGCGGCAGTGAATTTTTAATTGTGAATTTTGACGATTTAAACGGTAAATATCAGTTTTTATTGTACATATATTATACAAGTAAGACGAAAGTGATAGTTTTTGAAAGAGAAGACAGCAAAACGGTATGTGAAATAAGAATAGAAGGAGAGTTAATTGAGCAAGTGAATGAGTTCGTATATTTGGGATGTGTATTCAGCAGGGATGGGAGATATGATAAGGATATTGAACGACGAGTGAATTCAGGAAATAAAGTAAATGGGGCTCTACACTCTATTGTGAAAAGTCAGAATGTGTCAAAAAAGGCACGTATGGCAATTCACAATGCTGTATTAGTCCCTACTTTAAGATATGGTAGTGAAAGTTGGGTGTGGCAGAAGAAACACGAGAGTAGAATAAATGCAGTAGAAATGCGATCGCTAAGGAGTATGTTAGGGCTGAATCTGAGTGACAGGGTGAGAAACTGTGTGATAAAAGAAGAGTGTGGTTTACAAGATGATGCGGTGACCAGGATTAAGAAAGGAATGCTTCGGTGGTTTGGTCATGTAGAAAGAATGAATGCGGAAAGACTGACAAAGCAAATATATGTTGCAGAAGTGAATGGAAAAGTCGGAAAGGGACGTCCTAGGCGTCGTCCTAGTGTCGACCAAATTGGCGATATACTAAAAATGGGCCTTTTGTAATTAGAGTTCAGATTTTTTTTATAAAGACTATCTATTTTACTTCTAGCTCTATTGAGGTTTTTTTTTTTTTTTTTTTTTTTTTTTAAACGTTACCCCTACACTAGGATTTTCTCCTGTATCGCGGGGGCAGTTTACAAACATAAATTGCACAAGGACAAACATCCAGACCCGGAACAATTATTTGTAGGCCATACAAATACTGGTTCCGTGCGGGATTCGAACCCGCAACTCCCAGCGCAGTCACTCATTGCTAAGCCACTACGCCACGGAGTCGTCAATTTTTCAAGTTTTGTCAAGTTTTGATAATATATGTACATTCTTAAAAATATGTAAAAAGATACCAAATAAATGCTTCGAGTTTAATCAGATTACAAAAAGGAAAAAATAAAATGAAAGAAATAAATAAATTAGACTACTCTAAACAGGGTTATTAGGCGACAGCTTTGATAAATAACTAGTGTCTCTTATAAGTATAGCAGGGGATTCTTCATTTTTACGAATATAGATACGACCGTATTTTGGTGGCAGCACTGTGCTCTTGTTTACATCAGCTCCGTAGTTTTATTTCTATTAAAATTAAAGATTAGTTATTATTGTGGTGAACTGTTTGTAAGCTAAAATATTGATGTGCAACCTTTGTGTGTGAATGTTATTTATGTGATCAGAAACTAACTTTGGACAAAATTGTGCTGTGAACAATACGTAAGTGTTTTCAAAATTTACAAACTGAAAACAAAACATTGACGCCTTACTAGTAAACAATAGTTGTAACAGCAATAAGAAATAAGTATTTTTCTCTCTGTGATAATACTTATTTCTTATTTATATTGATATCTGTACACTAAAGATATTTTTGTTGTTGTGAAGCAATAAAAAGATCGTTTTTTCTTACGACTTGAACCACCACCGATTGAATTGACCAATCAGCGCGTTTCTTTGTTAGACATATACATACACTCAGCGACATCTAGCAGGCGTCGTGAGAAACTGATGTCATTACCGTTCAATCAATTAATTATTAACTAAACATGTCGTCTAAGATTAGAAGTGATACCAACAGCGGCCGCAAGAGGTCATTAAATGTTACATGCTATAAATGTAAAAGTCGTGTCGATTATAAAAGCACAATTGTGTGCACCTTATGCAAAAACTATTTTGAATTTTCTTGTGTTGGCAATCCAGAAAAGAGTAAAAAATGGCAATGCAAATCATGCGATAAAAAAATAGCTGTGCAAACTTTATTAACTACCGAGGAGAGCAATGTGACATTGAGGAAGAAGATGTTGGTACACAATATTAGCGATAATGTAATCCTACCTTCTGATACTGCCCAGGAGACCACACCAGTATCTACTCCAGCTAGCACAGAATCGGGAAAAGAAACTACAGACATTTTTTCCGATGGTCTAACTATTGATGAAACCTTGTTATCAAAAAGTATGGATTACACAATGACGGAAGTTGTCTCTATTCAGGACATGAGAGACATCATAGAACAGCTACGAATGGACCTTGCCACAACACAAAATGAACTTGAAAACATTATTCTAGACAATAACGACCTCCGTTCACAAGTGACCAATCTTATCAAGGAAAATAACACATTAAAGGCTTTTCTATCCAAAACACCACCAAAGAAAAGTAAATCAAATTGTAGCACCAAAAAGAAAATTAGAAGTTCCCCACGATATTCAGATGTAAATATAATAGCCACACCGCCCAGGGCATTCAGTGACAACACGACAGAGGAATTCTCTAACAGGAACATCCTAACCCTCGAGCAGAATCTTAAAGATCTCGAGCTGCAACTGAAGTCAGCCAAAAATGAAATAGCGGACTTTAATATTCAAATCATAACCCTTCAAAAGGTAGTCCAAGCTAAAGAATTTGAAGAATCCTCGCTAATTCAGCACACGATTAATTTAAACTCAGAAATTGATAAAAGTAAGAGACCCAAATTGTGTATCCTGAATAACAGCTCATCCTGGGGTACGCTGTCAGCTGTTGACGCTACGTTCAATAAACAGTTTGACTACATCCGCTATTTCTCGCCGAATAGTAATATTAAATATTTACTCCAGAATATTGATAAAAAATTGCATGGATACGATATGTGGGACTATTGTATTATTATGATAGGTGAAAGAGATTTTAGAACTACATGTGATTGTATAGAGTTAGTAAAAACCATAAGGGAAGCATTACACCATATTTCTCATACTAATATAATTCTATGTGCTCCTACATACGTATGTGGATCACCAATATATAATTATAAAATAGAATTATTTAATAAATTAATGTATTTGGAATTACAAAACAATCATTATGCATACTTTTATGATTCCAATCTCTTAACTTCATTTGACATGTACTCATTTAAAACTGGGAAAATCAATAAAAAGGGAATACAACATATTTACAAAAATATACTAGATAATATAAATATTGACTATAACTACTATGGTTATACTACAATAATCACACCTCGAAAGACCAATCCTCAAGTAGAAAGTACTAAGTTTTTTCTCGTATAGAACAGCCCGCAAAAAAAAAGAATAAACGTAGTAATAAAGTACGATCTAAAAAAAATACTATTGTACTATCAAAATGTAAGAGGTCTACGCACAAAAACTGTTACTTTCCATAATAATATGTCTTTAATATCAAGTGATCTTGTCATCCTTACTGAAACTTTTCTCAACGATTCTGTATATGACTCTGAACTGTTACCTCCCGAGTATATTGTCCTAAGGAAGGATCGTGCAGGTAACGTCGGATGGGGTGGTGTTCTCTTAGCAGTAAAAAATAGTTTTACCGTTAAAAGAATTACGAACATAGATAGTTTAACTGATGATAAAGAATTGTTATTTACTCTTTTAACGTTGAAAAATATTAAACTCTTAGTGTGTGTTGCATATTTACCACCAAACTACAATGACAAGCAATATCTTGATGCATTAAATTGTATAGAAAATGCCATTAACACATATTCTGACTGTAAATTCTTGATTGTTGGTGATTTCAACTTAAGGTCTTGTAATAAATCAGTTCAAACTCAGTTCCATAATTTCTTAAAATGTTGCAACTTACAGCAATGTAATAATGTTTGTAATAAATATGGATGCATCTGGGATTTGGTATTGACTAATCTAGACTCCGGAAGTTGTACTGTGTCATTCGAAGTGGAACCATTGGTACCTATTGATGCTTATCACCCTCCGTTAGAGATCGTGCTTACACTACCAACAAGAGCTGCAATAAACACACCATTTTCACCATGTCAGAACCTTTGCACAGAATGGAATTTCCGTAAAGCAGATCTCTGTGGCTTGTACACTGATATAAATGACTTGGACTGGACGGACCTAATGCACCAACAGGACGTAAATGTAGCTTTAGAGATCTTATATAATAAGCTTAATAAAGTCATTAGTAGACGAGTTCCCTATAAATCCTTAACTACCAATCATAAATATATATATCCAAAATGGTATACTAAAGAAATCATAAAATACATAAAATTGAAATATTTTAATTTAAAAATGTTTAAAAGTCTTGGCTTGGAATTTAATAAGGCGTTATTTAAATATTATAGAACCAAAGTAAAAACACTTATTAATACAGCATCTATAAAATATATGATAAAAGTTGAAAATGATATAGCACGCGAACCTTCAAATTTTTGGAAATACGTGAAAGAAAAACGAAAGAATAGACAATAGAATAAGGAATTTATGTATAATAATAGAATTTTAGAAGGGCAGCAAGCTATTAATGCATTCGCGCAGTATTTCAGCTCAGTTTTTCAACCTGATACTCCATTGTTAAATGCAGAGGCAGCGGAACGCGATGCAATGTACGCAGACTGTGTAACCAAAGTCAGTATTAATATTATTAAAGCTTCAGATCTACGATGGGCAATACGCCGTCTTAAGGCATCGGCAGCTTGTGGCCCTGATAACATACCTTCGTTTTTAATAAAGACTGTATGGCAGTTTTAGAGGAACTCATTACTGGATTCCGGCCGGAACGTTCTACTTTGACGAATCATATACAGTTTGTGGACTACGTGACCACTCGGGTTAAGTCAAGTTGTCAAGTCGACGCAGCCTATTTTAATTTTAAGAAGGCGTTTGTCCTTGTTGATAATGATATCCTTTTATTGAAATTCGCAATGCTTGGATTCGCTACACCACTTTTAAAATTTATGGCAGATTATCTTAGAGACCGAAAGCAATTTGTTAAGCTAAGAGGTTATATTTCTCAAGAATATTACACACGCTCGTGTGTGAGTCAAGGTAGTACGCTCGGTCCAACTCTATTTCTAATAATAATTAACGATCTGCCCAGTAATATCTCAAGGGCAAAATGTTTAATGTTCGCTGATGATATAAAACTTTTCCATGCAGTGACCGGAGCTGAGGACTGTATGGCATTACAGCGCGACATTGACGCAGTGGTTGAATGGAGTGTAAAAAACAAGTTGCCCCTTAATAATTCAAAGTGTAAGACTCTAACTTTTTCTCGGTCACGCAATCCAATCACAGCGACATACCAGCTAGAGGCTATTACGTGTCTATTCAATTCGCGATCTAGGCCTAATCATGGATAGTAAATTAAATTTCCATGAACATATTATTAAAACATGCAAAGAAGCGAATAAAAGTCTAGGTATTCATATAAGAACTTCGCATCAGTTTAAAAATGTCCGTGTGATAAAACTCCTGTATAATGCCTACGTGCGAAGTAAGCTAGAGTATAACGCCCTAGTATGGAACCCCCGAGAAATCATGTATACAATGATGGTGGAAAAAATCCAGCGTAAGTTTGCCAGATATCTGTATAAACGCCAGTATGGATACTACCCATTTCTATATCCGTCAACATTTGTATCGGGCATGGTTGGTCTGGATACCCTACAGTGTAGGCGGAAACTTATGCATATAATGCATTATTATTTCTTGTTAAGTAACAAAGTAGATAATCCTGCAGTTCGTGAGACCATACATATTTATGTACCGGACCATTATGTGCGAGGTGTTGGTAGACGTAAACGTAGACTGTTCTCCTGTCCGCGTACGTGGCGCTCCCCACACGCAGATAACAGTCCCACTTCCAGAGCCGTTAGACTAATAAACTGTTTTCTCAGGGCCAATCCAGACGCAGATATATTTTTTGACAAACCCAGCGTAATGTATAAAAATGTATTAATATTCTTAAACAACTTTGTAAGATAGTAGAATAGTATATGTTTAGATAAATAAGTTTAATTTATGATATAGTAAATAGATCTCATTATACCGTTGTGGCTGTAATTTATATTGTGTATGGAAATTTAATAATTGGTGATCGTGTATTCTTACTTATATAGATATAAGCGATTTGGTTGTATATACTGTAAGCTTATATTTTATCAATAAATGAATGAATTTTACCCAGACAAATTTGTTGTGGTTAATTTTAGTCCATTGTCTTGCCGCGGCGTGTACTGCCTTGCATCCAGCTGATAGGTGTTCCGATATGTAGATATTGTATTTTTCGCCAGCCAAGCCCATGTGAGACGAGTTTAGCGGACACAACTTGTTTGCTTTATTGAATCTTCGCACTGCAGAGATGATAGTGTCGCGGTGATGTTCCGAGTGCAGCGTCGCAATAATATTGCGGGGACGGTCTGACGAAGGGTTTAGCTTTGCAACACGGCGGATAGATTTTATGTCTGACTCAGCAATAGGGCAATTTATGACCTCACACAATTTCATCAACCCATACAATAAATTTTCCGACCGTTTTTCGGGTACCGACTGGATTTCAATGTTGCAGTTTCTTGAGGATTTGTCTAAGACCTGCAGAGTTTTATTCATTTGGGATAATTCGGATTGTAGTTGCACATTTTCATCTTCAAGCTTGCGGACCTTGTCTGACAACGTCTTAAGTTCAGCTTTTACGTCCCTTTGCTCCTCTGCAAGAAAATCGTTACGGTGAACTCGGATTTTAGTTTGGCTATTTGATCACTAACTTCATTCCTTATTGTTCTGGTTAAAGATGCTTGAAAGCTTTCCAGCTTAGTATCCAACTTAAGATCTAGAAGTTTCGAGAATTGGTCCAATGTGATACTCGCAGCGGGAGTACATCCGGATGACGGGGGTGTATTTTCAACTGTGTCCATGACTGGTCGACTAATTTCAACGGTGTTTTCACTAATCGTAAGGTCTTCGCAGGACATGCTAGATTCATCCATGTTTTCTAGTTGTTTCCGAACAGGCGTATTGCAGTTGTTTACCTTTCGCCTAGTTACGTTGATGCAAAGTGGACATATCCAGGACCTTCTCAGTTCGCCCAGGTTAGCCTTGTAATAAGATTGAGTTATGTTCAGGCATATATAATGATAATGTGTCATACACTTTATACATCGGAGTAGTTCCTCGCCAGTAATTCGATTACGACACGCTTCACAATTCAAAGTGATAAAAGTTCGCTTCAATAATATATTCGCTTGAACAAGAACCGTTTATTCATCATGCATATAGTTCACAGTTCAAAGATTGTTTTGATGTATGATTTTAATGCTTATGAACACTATTACAGTACTTTTTCAACGATAACTTAGGAGCGAGACTAAACTATTTCAATAGAGAAACGATTTTAAGAGGTGGCTCCTTAATTTTAGCTAGTAAATTATTATCATATAAAGAACGTAAAGATATTGTGAGCCTCTCTGTTGAGCGAACTGTAGAAATGGCATGTGTTGAGTTTGAGCACCTCATTGTTGTGAGCGTTTACAGACCCCCATGTTCTTTATATGATACTTTTGAAAAAATTATGGAGGAAGTTTTCGCTAAGCTTAATAAACAGAATAAATCTGTTGTAATATGTGGAGACTTTAATATTAATCTCCTAGAAGCTTCCTCCACTAATTTTAAATTTAGATCATTGTTTAAATCTTATGGTCTTTTTAATTTATTTTTGGAGCCAACACGTATTGCTGAATCTAGTGCAACATCTATAGATAACATTTTTACAAATGTTAAGCCGTTCAATAAATGTATAATTCAAAAATTGAGCTCTGATCACTGTGGACAATTTGTTTCATTACCTTATGTTCACAAAAAGCAAGTAGATAAAAAAGTAGTGTTTGTTCCAGTAAATGCACATCGCTTGGAGAAGTTTAGAAGTAACATAGTAAAGTAAAATAACATTCAGAGCCACGCGGCAGCTTTGCTGTTGCACGTATGGGCCGGCTCAAACCGGGGTGGTACCACGACCTCACAGAATACCGGCGTGAAGTGGAAGCTCTGCTTCCGCGTTTCGTCTGGTGAGTGCAGGTGGCCGGAGGCCCAAATCCCCCCCCCCATCAACATGGTAGCGGAATTAAATAATGATCGACTACCCCAGGAGGGTACCAGCACCCCTGGAGAATCCCTCGCTGAGCATCCACGACCATGTTTCTCCACTTCTGAGCGTGGGTGCTCAGGCTGCCCCGCGTATTCTGGGGGGGGGGGGCAAAATTCCGCTCAAGACTACAACTGCTCGGGGCAAACGGAGCAACAAGACCAAGGCGACCCCTGCCACGCTGTCCGTGAATTTCTGCAATATCAGGGAACTTCACTCTAACCTAAACGCCGTCCACTACCATCTCGGGACGGCGAGGCCGGCTCTGCTCTTTCTGACCGAGACGCAGGTGTCCTCTCTGGCTGATGTCTCGTATCTCTCCTACCCGGGGTACAAACTGGAACACTCCTTTGTGCCTCGGGCTGGAGTTTGCGTTTACGTCAGAGAGGACATCTGCTCTCGACGCCTCGGCAGACTTGAAGGTTCGGACCTGTCCATCCTTTGGCTACGCGTCGACAGCGACGACCATCCGCGCGTCTACGGGTTCCTCTATAGGTCCCATAGCGGTAATGCCGAAACAGACCGACTATTCGACCACGCCCAAATGGCTGCAGATTCGTTGCTACAGCAGATCCCCTCCGCAGAGATCATGATCCTTGGCGACTTTAACGCCCATCACGCCGAATGGCTTGGTTCACGTTTAACCGATCATGCGGGGAGATCTGTTCATGATTTTGCCTTGGCGTATGGTCTGACACAACTGGTTACTTCGCCTACGCGGATTCCAGATGTGGAGGATCATGCACCTTCCCTGTTGGACCTTCTGCTGACCTCTCACCCGGACGGATATCAGATTTCCGTCGACGCCCCTTTAGGCTCCTCGGACCATTGTCTGGTCCGGAGTGTGGTGCCACTCACGCTGAAATCGCGGTTGCATTCTGCAGGCTGCCGCCGTGTTTGGCACTATAGGTCAGCCGATTGGGATGGGATGCGGTCTTTCTTTGCATCCTACCCTTGGGGGCGGGTTTGCTTCTCGCCGGATGATCCCAACGTTGTTGCGGATTCTGTTGCTGATGTGGTACTTCAGGGTATGGAACTTTTTATTCCTTCCTCTGTGGTGCCCATTGGAGGCAAGTCTCAGCCATGGTTTGGTCGCTCCTGTAAAATAGCATCAAGCTATAAGCAGGAGTGCTACCAAGCCTGGGCTGATGCATCAGCGTCCCGGGATGTAAACACCAGCGCTCTAAAAAAAGAGTATAATTCCGCCTCTAGGTCCTTCAAAAGAGTCATTGCCAAGGCAAAGTCAGAGCACATAGGAAGAATTGGCGAGAAACTAGTTCGCCTTCCTTCTGGAACCCCTGCATTCTGGTCTCTCGCCAAGGCTGTCCAGGGGAATTTCTGTCAGCCATCTCTTCCATCTCTGCACAGGGAGGACGACTCACTGGCCCATACCGCAAAGGAGAAAGCCGATCTTCTAGGCTCTTTCTTTGCGTCTAACTCGACTCTCGATGACGGGGGGAGTACTCCGCCGACCATCCCGCGGTGTGAGTGCTCCATTCCGGAAGTGCACTTCACACAGCGCTCGGTTCGCAAAGCACTCCTCTCATTGGACATCCACAAGTCGAGTGGGCCTGACGGAATCCCCCCAATTGTGCTAAGGACGTGTGCTCCA